TATATATATATGTGTGTGTGTGTGTGTGTGTGTGTGTGTGAGTGTGTATAATATATTAAGCATCACAGCAGTTTCCTACAATGATGATAATAAGAAATGTTTCTTAAACACCAAGTCAGCATTTTAGAATGATTTCTGAAGGACCGTGTGACACTGAAAACTGGAGTAATGGCTGCTGAAAATTCAGCTTTGTCATTTAAAACTGCAAAACTATTTCACAATATTACTATTTTGAACTGGATTTCTGATCAAATAAATGCAGCCTTGGTGAGCATAAAAATCTTCTTTCACAAATATTTTTTTAAAAATCCCCAAACTTTTGAATTGAAGTGTATATGCTTTGTGCTTTTTAAGAAATAAAAGTTTTCTATTAAAGTAAACAGATAATGAGATCTGACTGAGACTGTAAATAACCAGTGTGCTGATTCTATTCCCTCCGGACTGTATCCATGTGTCCACAAGAGCTCATCAGAAAGAATGACACCAGCGCCCAGTTAGATCATCACAGTCATGCTCAGACACAGCACAGACACTGGAGCGCTGCACTAGATGTTCCTTTAGATCTTTTTAATATGCGCCTTGAGAAATATTAGCCATCTTTGCCATTTGGTAGCATCTAGCCATTTAAGATTGTGTCATCTGCCACACTTTATAAAGTGACATTTAAATCCTTTTTAACATCATGTTCTTACTGTCCAGCGGAAATGTAATGTGAGTGTTTGTGGAATCTGTTTTTTTTTTTTACTCTCTCTTTGTTGCCTGTGATTCATTTGATTTAATGCTCTGAAAGGACAAACCCCTGTAGATCTCAGTGGGTGGCATTTAAATGCGTCTGGAGAAGAAAACAGTTACATGAGCTGGGAAGGAGTTTCGTTTAAAACACAATTGCCCACAATACTGCTTGAAAATCGCATGCCATTAATTTGTTAAACTGGTGTTATTTTAGTAGTATTGAAATTCTAATGTAGTTTTAATTCATATTTTGAATCAGTTTTTATTTTTATATTTTGTTTTTATTTTAATTTTAGCTATTTTTAAAGTGTTTTTAGTGGGGGGGGGGTTTCCTTTACATTTTTAGTATTTTTTTTAAAGATGACAATATAGTTTTTGTTTTATTTTTACATATGTTTGTACATCCAGGTAAACTAAATTAAAATTTGGCAACTAGCATTTTTTTTCCAGTTTATTTCAATAAAGATTGTTTTTTGTGGTTTTAGTTTCAGTTAACTATAAAAACACTTTTTTTTTTTAGTTTTTCAAAATATCTTTTGCACGCATAAACGTTGTTTTCTCAAAAACACAATCACATACATACATGCTGCCCACATATTATTGTAGCCCAGTTTGTGCTGATTATGGTGCTACTAAACTTAGTCATTAAAATGTTTATTAGCAACTGAAAAAAGCACAAATGTCAGGACATGTCAAAACTTCTCCAGGGCCCAAAACACCCTCAGACCCCAGAGGGTTAAAATAGTCCATACATGCTCCTGCATTTACTGCCAACGCTGAAATCATCATATCATATAGGACACATTAAACCTGATGAGAAGTCTCTATAAATGCAAACAGCTGTCCAATGCACCTAAAGTGATTATTGAGCCATGATTAAAATAATTAGCACCTCATAACATCACGCTACTTGGACTAATATCAGAATATTAAAGTCGTTGCAGGAGCCTCCACGAACAATCGAATCAGTTCATGTCCTTATGTTCAGGATTCATCAGCAATACTGGTTCAGCGGCGGGCTGTCAGTCACGTTGAATTTCCTTCTCATAGACCCAATCGGGCATTAATTTGTCAATCTGTATGCATAGCGACTCTCATAACTTCCCCAGTGTTGTAATTAGTACTACCTGAAGTTGTAGGGCTTTGATTGCCTTCAGGGAGGTGTCCTGCAAGGCTGTTTCAAATTAGCATGAGGGCAATCACCCTGATTGCTCACATCTGGTCATTAAAGGAGAGGGGATTTTTCTCCCCTCCTTGTCCTGAACCTAACATGAGCTGAAATCAAAAGCTGGTGCTCGAATAAACAAGTCTTGAGTTTTTCAAGTGCCTGAAAGAGCTGATTGGACAGCGAGGAAATCCATGACTTTTGCATATGGATGCCAATTAAATGTTTGTATGTATTTTTTTTGTGAGGATGGTGATGTTTTTTTGCAGAATAACAGTTGGATCATGTCAGGATCAGTAGGCGAAGACACCGTTGAATGCTTCGTGGGGGAGATTGTTGAAACATTAAGCAGCTTTTACTGTTGCGTTCCGTTTGTGAAATGGATTATTTTTCAGCCTGTGAGCAGGGAGGTGTTGTCTTCTGACAGTTTGAGATTGAGAAAATATATTGCTGGAGTAGCAGAATAACAAAGGATGGAGACCGAACACAAGCTCGGAAGATGAATATTTTTATTCATGATTTTTCTTCCGAGGAGCGTCCTAGTAGTATCCCAGAACTCCCTTCACCAATTTGTGTTGTTTTCATGCTTAAAATTGATTTATTGTGAATGCTGCATGATCTACTGAGATTTTCCTTCCTCCATCCTACACTCTAAAAAATGCTGGGTTGTTTCAACCCAATGTTGGGTCAAATATGGACTAACCCAACTGTTGGGTTAAATTTTG